AGATAAATGTGAGCCTTGCCCTCATGGAGCTTATAGTGAGATTGGGGAGACATGTAGATTAAATAATCATACAGGCCAGGTGTGGTGGCTCACACCTGTAATCCTAGCACTCTGGGAGATTGACGTGGCTGGATTGCTTGAGATCATCAGTTGGAGACCAGCCTGAGCAAGAGCAAAACCCCATCTCTACTAAAAATAAAAAACTAGATGGGCCTAGTATACAGGTGCATGCCTGTATTCCGAGAAATTCTGGAGGCTGAGGCAAGAGGATCTCTTGAGTCCAAGAGTTTGAGGTTGCTATGAGCTATGATTGCACACATTTCCCCTTACAACTATGAGTACAACATAGAACCTGGACCCTGAAGGGCAGACTTGTGTGATATTCCCAGCTTTGTGCAGGCAAGATTTTCCACCAATGTTTGTCTGTCCATCCATCCATCCATCCATCCATTCCACATGACCAAGTATCTTCTACAGGACAGACCTAGGAACTAGGAACTAGAAATAGACTCTCACTGAACACGGCTGTCAAGAAGCAGGAATAAAAACACGTCTTGAAAAAACAGAAGAGACAGAAATTTACAGTCCAATCCCTGTGTTTGGTTTTCCGCAATGGGCATGAAAGTACCCCCCAAGCCAGTTTCCTCCTTGAGAAAGGTTACTGTGCATGGCCATCTGGCCAGGGGTCGCTACAGGCCACAGTTCTGCTTCAGCCTGCTGGCTGGAGAAGGCTTCAAAGCTGGAGTTGGGGTGGAACGGCATTTACTAAAGCTCAGTGTGTGGATGGGGTGACTGAAGTCCAGCCCCTGAAGCGAAGGCATGTGGTGTAGCAGCAGCTGTGAGGATTTATTAATCAAGGCAGAAGATTGCTGGGGATTACATTATCCTGTATCAGGATCTCAGGGTTTTTCTTTTCCAAAAGGCAATAGAAGTCACAGAGCCTTGGGTGATGTTGGTATCATCCCTCACCCTTGCAAATGGAACACCCTCCAAGATTCTACTTAACTTCTAGGATTGAACTCCAAAGCGGTTAGGAAGCCAGATAGACCTGGAATAGGCCTGCATTCCCAGCTATGGAGAAGGTTGTTTGCACTGGTTGTTTATAGCAGCCCAATGGACACTTGCAAAGATGTGGAAACAACCCACGTGCCCTTTAACACATGAATGGGTTACTAAACTGTGGTATATGTGTACCAGGGAATACCATTCAGCCATAAAAAGGTGGAGATTTTGTAAGAACCTGGATGGATTTAGAGAACACTCTTTTAAAGTAAAGTGTCACGGAAATGGAAAAACAAGCATTGCATGTGCAGAGTACTAAATCAAGACTAGTAGATTAACACTACACGCTCATATGAGAGGCAAACTCGATTACATTCAAGAAGGAGAGAGTAGGGAGAGGGTTCGGCAATTTCCCACCCTAAGGGAGCAATGCACCGGTATATGGCAGACTTCCTGGGTGAAGGAAACAACTATAACTGGGACTATTTTTTTCCTTTTTGAGACAGAGGTTCACTTTGTTGCCTTCGATGGAATGCACAGATCACAGCAACCTCAAACTCTTGGTCTCAAGCAATTCTCTTATCTCGCCTCCCAAGTAGCTGGGACTACAGGTGCCTGCCACAAGGCCCAGCTATTTTTTAGAGATGGGGTCTTGCTCTTGCTCAGGCTGGTCTTGAACTCCTGAGTTCAGGCAATCCACCTGCCTCAGCCTCCAGCATGAGCCACTACTCCTGGCTTCACAAACTGGGACTGTACCTTTTAAATGTAAACAATGTAACCTAATCCTGAGTACCTTCATGTTAATCTGAATTTTTTTTTTTTTTTTTTTTAGAAAAGAGCCTCAAGCTGTCACCCTGGGTAGAGTGCTGTGGCATCATAGCTCACAGCAACCTCGAACTCTTGGGCTTAAGCGATTCTCTTGCCTCAGTTTCCCTTGTAGCTGGGACTACAGGTGCCCACCACGATACCTGGCTTTTTTTAATTTTTATTTTGCAGTATTTTTTTCTTTTTCTTTTTTTTGGCCAGGGTTGGGTTTGAACTTGCCACCTCCAGCATATAAGGCTGGTGCCCTACTCCTTTGAGCCACAAGCGCCACCCCCGGCTAATTTTTTTTTTTTGGTTGTTATTGTAATTGTCTTTGTTGTTTGGCAGGCCAAAACTGGATTCCAACCCACCAGCTTTGGTGTATGTGGCTGGCACCCTAGCTGCTGAGCTACAGATGCTGAGCCTATCTGAAATTTTTTTAAAAAGCTGAAAAAAAATTTGAAAAGGGGAAGGCTGTATTTGCCCCTCTATCTGTGGCTGGTCTTCACTCTGAATCAAAGTCCTGGAGGTCAGCAGTTAAGAAGCCTGACTCTGACAAATCAGCATGACCAAGAATCAGTTAAAGTGGGCAGTGCCTGTGGCTCAGTGAGTGGGGCGCCGGCCCCATATACCAAGGGTGGTGAGTTCAGACCCGGCCTCGGCCAAACTGCAACAAAAAATATCCAGGCATTGTATCGGGCACCTGTGGTCCCAGCTGCTTGGGAGGCTGGGGCAGGAGAATCGCCTAAGCCCAGGAGTTGGAGGTTGCTGTGCGCTGTGACTCCACAGCACTTTACCAAGGGCAATAAAGTGAGACTCTTAAAAAAAAAAAAAAGAATCAGTTAAAGCTCCAAGAACATGAAATAAGTTTCTTATTTATTTATTTATTTTGTTAAGACAGAGTCTCACTCCATTGCCCTGGGTAGAGTGCCACGGCATCATAGCTCACAGCAACCTCAAACTTCTGGGCTTGAGCAATCAATCCTCTTGCCTCAGCCTTCTGAATAGCTGGGATTCTAGGCGTGTGCCACAATGCCTGGCTAGTGTTTTTGTTTTTAGTAGAGATGGGAGTCTCACTTTGGCTCAGGCTGGTGTCGAACTCCTGAGCTCAGGCAATCCATTTGCCTTGGCCAAGTGCTGGGATTGCAGGTGTGAGACTCCGCACCTGACCAAGTTTCTCTTTTAGAAAAGCCTGCTGCTTTCCTGGGTCTTTCTCAGGGCTCTTAGCCCTGGAAGCCCTCATGGGGCTTCATGGAAGAGACACTTGCCTGAGAAGCTGGGAAATCAGTTTTCTCACCTCAGCTCTGCTAGAACTCTGGGTAACCGAGCTTAATTAACCTCACTGGGCTGGAATAGAGAATTACAAAAAACCTTTCAAACTGTAATAACTTTGTGTCGTTTAAACACACAAACATAGCCATCTGTGTTATCTTTCTTAATTTACCTGCTAATAGATTGTAAAGCTCCTTAAAACCTGGAACCCTGGCTTACACATCTTCATACCTCCTAAACTATCTAGCAGAGTACTTTACACATAGGAGATGCTTTTTTTTTCTCTCTCTCTCTCTTGAGACAGACTTTCACTTTGTTGCCCTGGCCCTGGGTAGAATGCCATAGTGTCATAGCTCACAGCAATCTCAAACTTCTAGGCTCAAGCGATTCTCTTGCCTCAGTCTCCCGAGTACCTGGGACTACAGATGCCTGCCACAACGCCTGGCTATTTTTTTTTTTTTTTTTAGAGACAGAGTCTCACTTTATTGCCCTTGGTAGAGTGCCGTGGCGTCACACGGCTCACAGCAACCTCCAACTCCTGGGCTTAGGTGATTCTCTTGCCTCAGACCACGCTTGGCTATTTTTTAGAGACAGGGTCTTGCTGTTGCTCAGGCTGGTCTTGAAATCCTGAGCTCAAGCAATCCACTGGCCTCGGCCTCCCAGAGTGCTAAGATTGCAGGTGTGAGCCACCACATGCAGCTTCATAGTACATGCTTTAAAGATGTGTTTGGTTTTACAGCACACTGTACCCCATGATTGCATTAATGTACACAGTTATGCTATAAGAAATTTAAAAAAAAGATGTGCTTGGTTTTTTGGTAGTGTACCAAAGAGCCCACGTGGGTGGGGCCTATTGATGATGACTTTTGTGAATATTCCAGAACTGAGAAGCACTTGTAACAATCCTGACTGTGACGGATATATGGAAAAACCAAAGTGGTCCGCGGACCAGCAGGTGATGAATGGTGTGGCAGCGTGGAGGGAAAGCAGATTGCTTCTCTCCCTGCAGTTCCTTTTGTGTACAATAAAGGAAAAGTAGGGCCTTAAGACAAAGGATTTGCTCAGCGTCCTTCACTCTTGGAATTTGGCGCTTTCCTATGTTCATAAGCCATCTCCCCGATTTCTACCTTGTTTGCGTATGGCATGAGGGCTTTTGGAAATTGGATCGTAGTCAGTCAGTACTGAACTAAAGCATTTCTGACCTCAGAAACACCCATGGCATGTTAAATGTCAGGTCACTGGAATTTGGACTCCAGCCAGATGTGAGATGTTTTAATTTGTTGGGGTGTGTGAGTATGTGAGTGTGTGTGTGTGTGTGTAGATATTTCGCAGGTACCCATGTCTTGTGTGTATAAGTGTATGCGGTTGTGTGTGACTTCACACTACACGTGCTTTGCAAGTTGCTAAGTTATTCACACAATTAACGGAAGCTTTCATGTTTATAAATGTGGTAACAACTTTAAGCTTCTTATTCTCACTGAATAAGGTTCTTGGGGTTGTAGAGCATAGAACTTTTCCCCAGCTGGTCTCTCAGCTCCAGGCTGACAGATCCAATGAAACAAAAAATTTAAATAGCACACACACACACACATACAAGAACATTATTTTACCCTACCCCAGAGATGGGTGTACATATTGTTCATTGGTTTGCCATGAGAGAAGAGTCAGCGTACACTGAGATCATCAACTATAATGTTTTCCAGAGGCATCGATAGTGCAGGTGATTAGAAGTAGGTATCAATCAAGTAGTCAATCAAAAGAAAGATTTCTCTGGTCTCTCAAGGTAGGGAAATAACCCCTGTTTGGGTTTTTGGAAGGAATGGAAGTTAGGAATTAGGTTTCCCATGAGGAATCTCTCTAGACTGGTGCTGTCACCTCCTGGCCATCGGTAACTCTGATTGTCTTTGTCTTGTCTTCTGTAGCTTGGAATTGCACTGGGCTTCCTGATCCCGCCTGTTTTGGTACCCAGCATCAGCGACCGGGACAAGCTTGCCTACCACATCAGCATCATGTTTTACATAATAGCTGGTGTGGCCACTCTCCTTTTCATCCTTGTCGTGATCGGTAAGGGTCATTGGTAGACTGGTCGGTGAGCACAGGGAAGCAGGGGGCTTCTGCCGACTTTGGTGGACCCTTGTGAACATGCTCCAAGAGACCACAGACATTTGCAAAAAGTGGAGATTGAGCTTCTTACAACCTTCAAATATCACAGCCCGGGAAGTTGCCCTTGGTACGGGACTAGCTGGTCCTGTGCACTTTTTCAGTGGCTCAGGAAAGTTTTAATTGTAATTAATTAGTTCCTGAATCCTGCCTCACCAAAAGTAATGGGTAGATTGCTGGTCCTTTTGATGAAATCCCAGTGAGCACCTATGATATCACAGTCATTTGCTGGCCTCATCTCATTTAGTCCTCAGTAGCCCTGTGAGTGCTGAACCATCATCAACCCTGTTTAACAAAGGGGAAAATGAGACTTAAGGGAATTTGACTTAAGCTATTCAAGATTAGATAGCTAGTAAGTGGAAGAGATTGGATTTAAGCCTAAGCTTGTCTAACTTCCTACTCTTAACTCTCTGAAAAACAGAACAAATTGACCCACAAACTCTAATAATCTCATAAGTTAACCTGATAATACTTGAGAACCATGTTTCTTTAATGTTTTTCTTTGAAAAATTACAATAATAATATATGCTCTTTATGGAAAAAATCTATACCAAAAATCATAAAGAAAAGAATGACCATTACCTGTGTACAAGTTAATCTCAACCACCAACCTCAGTTAACTACTACCAATATTTTATATGCATGTAATTTACTCATTGAGGTATTTGGTAATAGAACTTTATATCCTCTTTTTTCAGCTGAGTGATGTTATTAAGATAAGGGCTGTGATAAGTTCAGAAACAGCATGGTAGAGGTTTATATTTTCAGTTAGTCACCTGTCTAAAGGTGAACCAGCTTCCTTCTTGATACCTGAATGGTCCATCATGTTGAAGGTTTCATTCCGGTCTGCTGGCCTCACCTCCCAAGTCAAACAGTTCTATCACTGTGCACCTCATTCACCATCTCACTGTGTCATTTCCTCCCTGGAGTCAGGATGAGAAAGGGCTGCCTGATGGCTTTTCAAAGCTGGCAGAATGTCTTAGACAGAGATCTTGCTGCTCCTGGGAAGGTAAGAAACAAGGGAGCTGAAAATGAGAGTGAGGAAGGATGATATAGCCAGGGCCTGTCAGCCAGACTTTGAGTTTCCAATTGGAACGTGTCCGACTCTAAATTCTTACGACTGTAGCAAATGAAGGCCTGCTCCTTTGCAGTTGAAAACTTGGAGGTAGAACAGTTCTATGTTTTGGCATTTTATTATCAAGCACAGACAGTACCTAATTGAGTAAAGAACTGAAAAATCTTATCTAAATTCTGGTTTGTGGTTGCCAAATCCTTAAGCCAACACCTGCTGATGCCAAGATAAGTAAGTCTCTTGCCTTTCATTCTTTCCCCTGGTAGAAGGGGAGGTGAACAGGGAAGATAATGGATGAGAGGCTCCCAAGGGGTGGAAAATAGTCCAGAGTATTTCCAAAGAAGGAGGAACCAAGGCTCTGAAGTCTGGGCTAGGGCATTTTCTGGGTGGGGGGCTGCTTTGATGTGCCAAGAGAGTAAACCTCATTTCCAGAGCTTCCTCTCACTGGGGATGGTCTACTGAGCTTTCGGGAGCATTCTCAGGGGAATGGGGAGGCCATGTGGTACTTACTTGAACTCAGTAGAGAGACCTATTTAGCCAAACAGTTAGTTCAACTGATCTTCCCCCACCCTCAGAGAACTGGATGGCAGTGAGTGCAGTCAAAATGGTCACAACAGTGACACAGAAAACAGAATACAAATGGAGTGGTTTTCCACTGTCTCGCTCCAGCCTTCGAATCAGAGTGTCCCATTTTAGGAGAAGCGGATGGTAATCTTATCAGGCAGAGGGCTGATTCTTTGAGAAACTAGAAGTGGAATCCAGGTTTTCCCTACAGAAGAAAATCCTTTCACTTATTCAGGGGAAATTTATTGGCTGTTGTGTGCCAGGCTCTGTGCTAAGCATGGACGTCACAGTCCTTTCTGCTTTGGGAGGAGCTGTGGCTCAGAGCCATTAATGGGCTCACTCATCGCAAAGCTTCAGCTCTTGCTTCTGTTCCACCCATGGGTTGCTGGTGTATTTTTTCGTTGCTCTGTAATATATTATTTGCTGGTTATGATGTATACCTTGATCTTTGACCACTGCCTGGGAGGCCCAGTGATTTCAGCCTTCTAGAGGCCATTAAGAAAAAGTAATCAAAGGTCCATTTACTTGGCTCCACGCCCGTAGCACAGTGGTTACGGTGCCAGCCACATGCACTGAGGCTGGCGGGTTCGAGCCAGGCTTGGGCCAGCTAAACAACAATGACAACTGCAACAGAAAATAGCTGGGCATTGTGGCAGATGCCTGTAGTCCCAGCTACTTGGGAGGCTGAGGCAAGAGAATCACTTAAGCCCAAGAGTTTGAGGTTGCTGTGAGCTGTGATGCCATAGCACTGTACCGAGGGAGATAAAGTGAGACTCTGTCTCTTCAAAAAAAAAAAAAAAAAAAAAGAAAAGGTCCATTTACTCAGCTTCAAATAATGAGAAGCAGTTCAAAAGAGGAAGCTGTAAAAGATATAATTCAGGAATCAGTGTTTCCTCTGGTAGTCTTAGCTCCTTGCCAGATGATGGAGCCAGCTCTTGTGCCTGTGGAGCGAGCTCTGCTGGGGCGGGACCATGAGAATTTGTAGTCATCTCTGTTTCTTTCCTTTCAGTATTCAAGGAGAAGCCTAAACATCCCCCCAGCAGAGCTCAATCCCTGAGCTATGCCTTGGCGTCCCCCGATGCTTCCTACTTAAGTTCCATCGTCCGACTCTTCAAAAACCTCAACTTTGTGCTGCTTATCATCACCTATGGTAAGGTACAGGTGTGTCCAGGAGTGCAGGCAGCCTGGGGACGTGAGAGGACAGGCCTGATGTGTCTCTGTGTCTTATTCTTTCTAAATCCCAAATGTGCAAGTTGTTGTTTAGGGTCCATCCGAGGAAGCAGCTGTGCCTGGGGGCCTTGGCATATGCTGGAAAACCCAACTAGGAAATGATTCTTTCCCCCATCAGCTTATCTGACAGAGGCTCATTGGTCCCCCAGTTCTCATCTTAGTTTCACCTCTGTAGAACAGTATTAGAACTTTCTCTTTTTTATCCTGCTATTCCTTAACACATCTTATCACTTACCATGTTTTAAAAACCATTTCTAGGTCTACCTCCTCACTAGACCGAGCTCCTTGAGAGTGGGGATTTAGTTTTCCATCTTTTTAGTTCCTCGGCAGTGGCCAGCTTGAAGTGGACGCTGTAGTGGTTGTTGAATGAATAAACGAATGAGGGCACAGATGAGTCTTGCCATGTGAACCATTTCGCAACCAGTTCTCTCTGTTTGTAACATTGATTCCTTTTTTACCTGAATGCACAACACCCCTCCCCTTTCACTTTGTTTTCTTGGCTTTTGGCAAGATAAATTTGAATCTTAATGCTAGTGTGTTGGCTTGCCTTCCCAGCATATTGCTTTTTATATCTTCTTTCTAACTTTTAATAAGGGTGATGGATCAGACAAGGTAAGGACAGAGCCTCATGGCATTCCATTAAAAAGTGTCCTGCAGATGAACCCCAGTCTGATAATTGGTACTCTCAGTTCAAGCTGCTACAGATCCACCCAACTGTGTTGCTATTTAGCCTACGTGTGACCATTTGATCCACTAGTTAAAGTTGGATTAAAATCAAGAGTTAACAAGTATGTAACATACTGAGTAGCTGTACAAAAGAAAGAAATGAGAATGCTTTGACATAACTTATTCTTAGTGAAAGAGAATAAGACCTATGACCTTGTGTTTGGCTATGACCTCATATTTTCTGTAGGCTCAAAAACCATTGTTTTTGGAACAACCAAGTGATCACAAAAAAAAAAGTAACAACAACAAAAACCATTGTTTTGTAACAACAGCATTTACTATGTGCCAGGTACTTTTCATGTGATTTTATTGAGTGCCCACTAACTACACCCAAGTCAGGAGACTAGATAACTAGCCCAAGGTCACACAACTTTTGAGTGGCAGAGCCGGTAGCTAAATATAGATTCATCAGGTTCCAAAGCCTGCATTCTTGATGCCTGTTCTGTAATTGCCTATATGTCTTCCTAGAATTGTGCCAGGGTTTCATTTTAGGCTTATCAATATGCTTATCTGCTGATACATTAGATAAGAGGTGGTGTCATCCCCATAGTAAAGCAATTATGTTTTTTAGGCATAAGTTAGGTAAACTCTCAGCTGGAACAGCCTTTTTTAAAAAAAATTTTTAATTTAAAAATTTTATTTTTTAATTTCCAATTACTATGAGGATACATACAATTGGGCCACATTGCTTGCATTTGTAAGGCAAAGTCTAAGTTGTAGCCACACAGGGAGTGTGCCATAGAACCACACATTGTTCCCACTGGGAAGGAACCCACAGACCCCCTCTTCCCCTCCCCTCTTCTTGGATTCAATTGAACTCTTCTCTCATGTGAGCAAGTCCTTGTTGACCTACAGGTTTCAAATTGGTACTGAGTATATGTGATGCCTATCTTCTTATTCTTTGATACTTTACTCAGGAGAGCGTTCTCCAAATTGGAATAGCTCTTAATAACCAGATTAGTCTTCAAGGTCCCAGTTCTTTATTTCTCATTCCTTCCAGTTTTCTAGTTCTCTCTGAGTATGTCTCTGAATTTGCCCATAATATAAAGACAAACTTTCCAAAACTTAAGAGATGTCCAACTAAAGAAGTTTGGAGTTGCCCATCAGTGGGAGGTCTTTAGGCCCATGCGGAACCAGCTACTGGGGAGAATGTTGTAGGGAATCTCAGGCTCTAGACCAGTGATTCTCAACCTTCCTAATGCCATGGCCCTTTAATACAGTTTAATACAGTTGAGAACTGCTGCTCTAGATAGATAATGAAACCTGATGGCCTCTGGGGTCCCTTCCAGACTCAGGATTCCATGACTCTGAGAACTTTTTCTTTTACTTGGAGTTAAATATTGAGTGCATTGACCTCTGACCACCATAAACCTTATTGCATCTGATAATAGAGTATTTGAGGCCTATCTCAGGGATTCTAGGACAGATGAGTGGCTAATAAATGATTTCTGTGGCTGAGAATGGTGGTAGTGGTGATAACTGGGCAGTGGTCCCATTCCAGAGGTTGTGGTCTTCAGTGCGAGGGCCGGATAAAGGCAGGGCTAGGCCACTGACCCGTGAAAGCAAGAAACAAACCCCAAATATACCAGGCATGTTGTTGCTACTAGTCATTGAGGGATTCAACTGTAGGCCATGTTGCGGGAAATGAAGTAACTCCTCCTTTTCTCCTGCTTAGATAGCCTGTAATCTGGCAGAGTAACTTTAATCCTGTACTTTTGAATGCTCTTCCTTATCTGTGTGGTTAAATGACAACACAGGAAAATCTGGTTGCTTGGGTGGCCTGTAATCTGGCACGGTGCTTTTAATCCTGTACTTCTGAACACTCTTCCTTATCTATGTGGTTAAATGATAACACAGGAAATAACTAGGAAAGCACTTCTTGAATCGTGAAGTAAGGACTTAGAAAATCTGTTCCTCCATAAAAGCAATAGGAACACTAGCAGAAAGTATCAAAATCAATTTTTTCAGGACTCTTAGCCAAAGCTTTGCAACAATACAACTGACATTTATTTGAGAAAAATGGCTGAATGTCGGTAAGGTAGTGGGCTTTGTGTTGTAACTTGCCCTATTCCAATCCCCTTCTCTAGGCTCTGCAGTAACCTAACAACCAGCTGCCTCGTACCTATAGTAGCTGTGACAGCCAACTAATCACCTGGAGGGAGCAAAACAGGTTTGGTGCTCCATCCCTGAGAATAACTGTTATTTGACCTATCTGGCAGGTTTCTATTTACAGAACATTTATTGGAAACAATAAGTGGCACTTCTTAACATTGCAGTTGTGTGAGGTAGCAATACCAGTTAGGGCAAATAAGAGGCTGGCCAAAAATCTTGAAAGGAAAAATCTGGACAACGTTGAAAAGCTCTTAGCTGTTCTTAGGTATTTGGAAGTCCATATGCATGTGCAGAGCTATGCACATGCTCAGGGAAGACCTGAGAGAGCCCTAAACCCTCACCTCTGGCTGACCTTGAGGCTCTGCACAAGCAGAAAGCAAAGGCTAAGGTAGAGTGGTCAGCTACCTGCTGGAGCTCTGAAGGTAAGCCCAATATATACAGTTCCCTAGTAAAGGAGGGAGATTTAAGGTTGAAGGAAATAAAGCAGCAGTCCCCAACTTTTTTGGCCCCAGGACTAGTTTCATGAAAGATAGTTTTTCCACGAGGGTAAGGGGGGATCTCATGGAGACAGAGCTCACAAAGTGATGCCAGCAACGGGGAGCAGTGTAAATACAGGTGAAACCTCCCTTGCTTGCCTGCTGCTCATCTGCAATGTGGCCTGGTTTCTAACAGGCCACGTAGCAGAACATTTTTGGTACCAGAAACCAGTTTCATGGAAGAGAATTTTTCTTTTTCTTTTTCTTTTATTTGAGACAGTCTCACTGTCACTCTGTCACCTGAGTAAAGTGCCATGGTGTCCCAACCTCAAACTCTTGGGTTCAGGCCATCCCCTTGCCTCAGCCTCCTGAGTAGCTGAGGCTACAGGCGCCTGCCACAATGCGCCTACTTGCGCCACAATGCACAAGGCCCACTAGCTGCCACAATGCCCAGCTAGTCTTTTTCTATTTTTAGTAGAGATGAGGTCTAGCTTTTTGCTCAGGCTGGTCTTTAACTCCTGAGCTCAAGTGATCCTCCTGCCTTGGCCTTCCAGAGTGCTAGGATTACAGACTTGAGCCATTATCCACAGCCTGGAAGAGAATTTTTCCATGGACCAGAGGAAGGGGGACATGGGACAGGAGGTGGAACTCAGGTCCAATATGTTCCTAACAGAACACAGGCTGGTAACCAGTTCATGGCCCAGGATTTGGGGGCAGCAGCATTAAAGGAAATCTCTGTCCAACCATTAACTTAATTAATTACACACAGGGAACAAAAGCAGTTAATAGACACTGTCCCTGAGGAATCTAAGACATTGGGCATAGTAAAAAAAGATTGCAAGTTGATTATTATAAATATGTTCAAAGAATTAAAGGAAACCATGTCTAAAGGATTAAAGAAAAGTTTGAGAATGATGTCTCACCAAATAGAGAGTATCAATAAAGAGACGAAAATTAAAAAGAGCCAAGTAGAATTTCTGGAGTTGAAAATTACAGTAAGTAAACGAAAAATTTGCTGAAGAGAGGGCTCAAAAGCATATGTGAACAAACATAAGAATCAGCATTTGAAGATAAGTCAAATGAAACATTGCAGTTTTAGAAACCAAAAAAAGGACTAAGACAAATAACAGAGCATCAGAGACCCATGGGGCACCGTCAAACATACCAACATATGCAAAATTGGAGTTCAGAAAGAGAGAAAGGGGCAAAAGTACGTTGTCATTTAATTTGAAGTAGCATTAAGCTAGAAAACCATTTCACTTCTGAGGCTCTGGAAGCATTTGACTGCATTACGCATGAACAGAATTCATGAACATCTATCTCAAAGGCCTGGGAGTATTACAGTGAGAGTGAATTAAGCAAATCTGAGTGTAAATGTTTCATTATGGTCAGGGGACCATAGCCTTGTTACCATTGTAGAGAACTGAACATGGCGATGGAGCTGTTTCCCAACAAGGAAATGATTCTTAGGTTTAATAATAAGTTTGAAAAATGTTTCTTGAGCCATTATCATGTGTCAGACATCATGTTAATTGCTTTACATGCATTATCTCATTAAATCTTTAAAAAAGCCCATGGCAGTGCCTTAATTTCATTTTTTACTGAG